AAATATTATTATAATTAACGAGTCAGTCGTCTGCACCGCCAAAATGTAAGTATGCCACGAAACAGCTGCAAGGTAATTCGCCTCCTGTATCAAAGCAAACAAATAAATGAACTGCCTGTCGAACAACTCAGCGATGACGTATGTAAAACACAAGATCGACAAAGACCTGATAGCATCTGCTTGTGAACGGAGGAAAATGTTGCTCAAGGGAATAATTTCATTCTAATGATTTTTAATTTTTTTTTTTTTTTTTTTAATGATGTCTACAAATGTTAAAACAGTTGTAGTCATCATAACTGTTTGAGCAAGATAACGCGGAATTTTATGGATGGATTTAAAAAAACTGCTTGAAGAAGCTTAAGGTTAGAGTCCCCGGAAAATTGCCAACGTTTTTCTTTCTTATTTTTTTCTTAAGTTATATTTAAATAAAATGTTTGGAGTATCTGTGTTTGATTTCTTTTATATTTAAGTTATAAAGTCGCTTTTAGACTTTTTAAATTCCATTTCTTTTATTAATATTAATGGCACGAAATGGTTCTCAACCATTTTCTCGCAAGGCAATGAAAATATGTGTGTACTGAGGCATAACTTTTTGAGATTTTTGAGCGTACTGCACCGTAAATTCCTTGCGTGAAACTTAGGAACTGGGAAAGAGCAACCATTTTGGTTGAGAGAATCTGTTTGTGTCGTCTGCATTAAGGCGTGTCGAAATCATTTATTATAATAAACAGTAACCATGGAGCTCATTATCCATTAACTTCTAGCAATTCAGAGTGAATTTCTAAACGTCCTTTTATTGGCTTTGCAATATTCATTGCCATTCACGCATCTAACAAAGGGAAATCTATCACTAGGAGGCCAATGATGTACTATACTAAATATAATGCATTTACCAGACTTTACATGTCAAACAGCAGGAAAAATTCTTAATTTTACTTTGATCCGTAACTCTGAAGATTAGTTAGCTGACACTTTCATAAATTGATCATGAATCCTAAGATTTAGGTTGATAACTTATCTCAAATTCTTACAGTACACTTACGTAGTTCTCACGAACCTGCACATCTTCAAACGAATTGAACGTCGATCCTTAAAGTTTGTTGTTTTCTAGTTTAGGAAGTCGTCTTTCACTTCCTCTAAAGGTAGATTGTCTGGTCTAACAAATCGTTAACCTTCCGTGCGAGTTTGAGAATGGAAATATGAATTTTTCTACGAGTATGTCTGGCCCCAATCTAGGAAATTTTCGATAAAATCAAAGCGTTGAGCTGTCTCATGCGATAAGAATTTCTTACCGCTACGATTTGACAACAGATGAGGTTTGCTTGTTGCTGATAATTTTTTTTTTCCGCAGATATGTATTTCCTAGTTAAAAAAAGCAACAACATATGCTCTTTTGTCAGTTCTTATGAGGAGAGCGAAGGAGGCGGTTTAAAAGGTAATTAAAAAAGTGAAGCGAGTGCACTCAGGTTTTAGTAAAGTCAGCTTCGGTAAAACCCTACTACTAACAGACATTTTCTAAAGAGTTTCTTTTTAATTCTTCTTTCTTTTTGTCGGTCCTCACCCAAAACAAATGATTTTTGTGCAGCTGCATACAATAACCAGCAATCGTGTGTGTCTTTGGCTGTTTTGTATACAATTTCCTTATGATTACTTAATCAGCGGTAGAACATTTCAAGGAACAATTTTCATTGGTGTTATTGAATATTACACTAGCTGCCTGCAATGAACTTTCTAGATGTCCGTTCGTGTCAATACACAATGAATACTGCAATGTGAAGTAAACTGAGATAATCCTTCTGATAAGATGCCGCATCAAGCTACTGGGGCGTAGCTGTTAAATCAGTTAATGGTAATTCTAAAACATTTCCTTTTAATTGCATCTTAGCGAGTATTCTTAAATGCAGATAAAACCACCAAAAAGACTTAATCCTGTTCCTAAACTGTCATATGATATCTGTGTCCGGAAGTGAAATCGTCAAACACTCCGACCTGGATTGCTTGATTGATCAATTGATTTATTGCTTGATAGTACATGGTATTTTATGGGCTCTTATACTCTACTCCGCCCTAATAGGAGTATGCTGTGTCACAAAATGTACAATCAAATGTCACGGAATATATAATATAAATGGTTGGGAGTAAGGTTTCTTTTGAAACAGTTCAAAAGGACGACATCTCTCTAGAATAAAACTTGTGATAATCAAATAGCTCATTTATGACATTCGCTTAATGGCACCGAGGTCAAGAATGCTTTTTTAAGTAAATTACCTGTAAATCATTTGTTCTTTTTCATAACTGTGCGAGCTAATTAAATCAATAACACAATATGTGGCCGCGTTTTCAAGTCGCCGGATAAAATTATTGCTTGATAGAGGAGCACGCGCTCAATTAAGTCAATTTATCAAAGTTATGACGGAAGATGGAAATGGTGTTGGCATTTAACATGTTGCATTTGCATGGTGGAAAGAAAGGAATTATCCTTGAGTGCCATGCCGGTGAATGATTTCAAAAAAGTAAGCTTCTGAGATGAAACGTAGATATATCATTAGTTTTCCCCACTTGGGAAGATGGAAATGCCAAGTTAATGTCGAGTCACTGGCAAGCTAGATCAACAACTACAATCAGTTTTTGAAAATGGCTTCCCTAACAAGTATCATGTGAATATTTTGCTGATTCATCGTCCATTGTGCCGAATTTCTTTTAGACGGCCTAGGATTTAAAAAGCGAATGTTTCAGTCCTTAAAATTACATATCTTACTTACAATGATACCTGCCTTCTTGTTGCTACTCAAAACATGATGATGGCCACGACCTTGAAATAAGTGCATCATTTTTGCAACAGGAACAACGAGGCGTAATTTGCATGTCTTTTTCAGTTAGTACTGGTCTAAATACACTAATTCAAAGACACATACTGGCAGTACAATTTAGTTTTACCGCTAACGTATTCCATACGAGACTCTAACTAAAAAGAAGAACAGAAGGAAAAACTATAGTCTAAGTTGTTCCTTCTCAGGGAGAAAAACCCATGCGTCATGTAACATGCTGCCAAAGCCAGGCCTTTGCCAATCGGTATTTAGAATACGACTTTATCACGACATATCTCAAGAGAACTAACTGGAGTGTAGCTTTCTGTTGCATTATGTGTTAGGGGTCAGAAAATTTGTGGATTTAAGTTTCAGAAAGCAAGTTACTTTCAATACAAATGTGAAACAACTGGTAATGAAGTAAAGTTTATCTGACCTTCGGATTGAAATCAAATAAAGCCATAACCCTTGCAGGTGAGCGAAAATTTTAATTGCACAATTGAAACAGAATCCTGAAAAAACAATCAGGCTTCGACGAGATTCGAACCCGTGCTTTCCAGATACGAAGCCACACAAAACAATACGTTGGGATCGATACCAATTTTAGAGGGTTTTTTTTTTTCCCATGGTGGAATATGACGCAACATAATTGGCAATGAGTTAGAATCTGCTAACCTCGCTCCCAGCGGGCAGCCTCCTTACTCAATTGGTAATAATGCATAACTAGTATGAGTAGGCACCAGTTCGAATCCCGCATTTGCTAAAGTTGCAGCTTACTTGCGACTATCATGGCTTCACTTGATTGCAAAGGTGAAACAAAGCGACGTCTTAAGGTCAGACTCAGTTCCCAAAACTAGCACTAACTCAAAACTGCTACAATTTTTTACCATTCCCTTCTCTTCCTATTCACTGCCACAGTAGCATGTAGCTAATATTTCTTGAACCAATCCTTGCCTCCCGTGATTCACTCGGAAAAGCAAGAGTCCATTTTAATGGATGTTGTCTATTGTTTTCATTTTATTCAATCCGTTTAATCAAGGGATCATATAATCTCTTGGTTTAATTTGATTGAGATGGAATTTCTCTGAGAAAACGAACACTCTGGGAAAACGCCAAAGCGAGAGATTAAGGAGCTGAACTGGGAAATAAATACCGACTTTCACTTTTAACCCTTTCACTTTCAAGTTCTCATAAATATTTCTGCCTGCAGTGCCTAAAGTTCTCATGATGTTACTGTAAAGAATCTGGTATTGGATCAACAGATGATCCTCTAATTGATAGTGATATTCGCAATGTTAAAGATTTGTGAAAGAATTAACTTCACAAGGTTGTGTTGATGCTTCTTTAGGTCGTCCACATTACGTATGAAAGGGTGAGTTTATTGTCTGAGTTTCCAAATTTCCGAAAAATGTACGACCTCCAGAACTTGGCAAGAATTTTCAAGATAAGATTCTGGAAACTTTCTTTTGCATTCGATATTTTTAACTGAAGTTTCAGGAAATTTTTATCAATTGGAACCAGTTTGAAATTTGTGACTCCAGGAAAATCGATCCCAGATCTCATCACAACAGTGTGTTTGAATTGTTGTGAAAAAAAACTGTCATTTGTTCCAACACGCAAATTTTATTTCAGAGTATACGGTTGCAATTACTCTCGATAAAAAAACGGGAGTAAATACAAGTAACAGAGGAAGACAAATGCCAGAAATCGAAAGCGACGTCAAAATTGAGGAAAATGAATTACAGGACAAAGATAGCTACAAATTTGCACCTTTTGGGACCAAGTGGCTTCGTTACTCAATTGGTAGTAGGACCTGAATTTTTTTTCAGGCTTCCTTTTTGAAATCGTTAATTGCTTTCCTTTTTGCAATCGTTGTTGCAGCTACTTATGAAGGATTCTTTCTTGACTAGAATATTTAGTAAATCGCATGAATAGTTTTGGCTCGGCCGACAACAATGCTCAGCACGAAGGTTTTCAACGTGCGACTGTTGAATAAGTTGCGTAAACAGTTCTTTGTTTGGTTTAGCTTACAAAAGCGGGAAATGTTTTAAAGTTCAAATGTTGAACAGGTCGCGTGAATACGTTATCGTTTAGCTCGGATGACAGCAGCGGGAACGTTTCTTACATGCTGAATAAGTCCCATAAACCGATTATTGTTAGGTTCAGCCGACAATAGCGCGAAGTTAAGGTTGATGTATGAGTAGGATATGCTTCACTGTTTGGTTGGGCTGACAATAAAGCGCGAGTGCTTATATAAACAGTTTAGTGTTACCTCCAGAAAATAACTTGATTATACTATTAAAGAGGAAAAAACGCGTACATACGCAGCTGTAGAATGAAATTGTATACAGGACAGGTCTGGTAGGAACACACAGTACTACCGTCAAATACTCTTTGATGCTTTAGAAAAGCTATCTACATTTATTTTGCAGCTTTCAACTTTCCTCAGATCCAAAAGTCAATTCTTTGCTTATATTTTACTTTATATTTTTCACTCAATTCTCTGGTATAAAAATGCATTGATATTGTAAGGAAAAATCCTCTTTTGCCACACATTGGAGTAACAGGAGAGCATACTCAGGAGACATTATCGAAAAATCCTTTTAAAATCAGTTCTTTGGAGACATAGTGCTTTTGTCTGACCTCACTAAACAGCTGAGTTCCTTCCCAATTTCACACATTTGTCAAAATTTGAGCCTAACTGAGGATAAAAGCCATGGCTACTGATCTATTATTCATTTGATGCAGCTCTAATGCTAATAATACAACAATTTCTAAGATGATCATGAATGCCGAAAATAATACATTCAAAGTGCTAACCTGTACTGCAAGATGCAGGATGTCCAGAGCTTTTTTTGAAATCGTGCCCATCGGCAACGGGATTTTTCATGATCTCTCAACTTGGAGCAAATAAAAGTTAAAAGTCATACTTGAGAGGAAAAAAATAGGCAAACTTGATCGATATTTTCATAGGTCTGAGTCTTCAATAAATACTTAAAAGTTTGCAAAATTGTGCAGAACACCATTGGTTTGACATTTTACTCTCCGAGCATAGATAAATAACAAAAGCTTTGTAAAATGATAACGATATTTTCTTAACCTCGATTAGTTCTGAGAGTGACAAGAGAGCCATGGAATCTAAGTCTAAACCGGCGTTCTATGAGAAGAACGGTAATAAGATTGAAGACAATCAGAACAAGAAAACTGTAAAATCACAAAAGTTCAAATATCTTTATACAAGCTTTGTAGCACTTTTTCATGTTACCGACAAGACCTTGCGTGCTATCTAGACAATTTATTAAAATTAAGAAAAAATACAAAGCAAGAAATAAGACTGCTAACGAAAGGAAAACCAAATTTATATTAGGAAACGAAACCAACTTTTGACTACGTTGAGCTTCCACTGACACATAAATTAATTAAAAGGCCAGTCTTATTCTTACCTGTAAGAGTGCAGATGGTAGCCTTATGAAGTACGATGTTATGTTCGTTGATGGCGGAATGTTAAGAAATCGTGCATGTATTATAACGTGATAATTTAATAATTTATAGACTTATTTTGCGCAATTATCAATATAAGAATTTTCAATTGCGCATTACAATTAAATGTTTCAATTTCAACTCTACATATATACTAAAACTAAAAATAAAAAATGATCACTAAGAAGATGTAAAAACTAAAATAAAATTACGTACGAAGAATAAAACCGCTTTTGCAAATAAAAAAAGTCTCAATGGCTTTCTTAAACTTGTTTAAATATTGGGTATTTGTAATAGGGCCCAGAAGATCGTTCCACAATTTAGGAACGGCTGCATGGAAAGAGCGGTCGCCGAGCTTGGTGAGTTTTTGGCCTTGCAATGAGCAAGGAATAAACCGTCATTGAAACGTTAATCATATCTCCCGGTGCCTGTAACAGACATCAGCTCACTTATGTAGGGAAAGACCTTGCATTACTTTAAAAGTAACTAAGATAATTTTAAAAGCTATGCGATATTTTACTGGCAGCCAATGTAATGACTTGATCATAGGTGTGATTTGACTAAATCTGCTCTTCTGGAATATGAGCTCAGCTGCATTCTGGTCTCTCTGAAATTTGTGTCAATTGCATTCGGGAACTCCAAATAGGGGGCTGTTACCATAGTCTAGGCGGCTACATATAAAAGCATGTATAAGTGTCTCCGTGCATTGTTTAGTTAGATACTTTCTAATTCTTCTGTTATAAAGATAATAAAACGCTGCAGAAAAAGTCTTGGTGATATTATCAATCATAGATAGATTTGAGTCAAACCAGACTTCAAGGCTTTTAACAGGAGAGTGCAGAGCTACATTTACTTTGCCAACATAAATGTGTCCAATATTAAATTCGGCGAGCAGCTGCTGCGTGCCAATTAAAAGAAACTCAGTTTTTCCTCATGCAACACCAGTTTAATCTCATGCGTCCACACCTGATCGCCTTAATACAATATTCAATAGCAGCAATGGCATCCAAGTGACCTGTCTCATCTGCGGGGTTGAAAGAGACGTAAAGTTGGGTATCGTCTGCATAGCAGTGGACAGATGGCAGGATGGAACACATTTTCCGACCACATCTAGTAACGAACTTGTAGAAATGGTAAACAAGAGTGGTTCTAAACAGGAACGTTCAGGAACTCCCCAGTTGAAATTAAACTTCTTCGACAGACACCCACGAATTAATATGCTCTGACTGCGCCCTGATAAATACGATGAGAACCAGTTAGACACCGCGCCCTCAAGTCCCAGCGTATTGAGTGCCTCTAGCAAGATATTTTGCTGGAATGTATCGAAAGAAGCACTAAGATCGAATAGAACTAGAAGAGTTACATGTTATTTATTCATATTACCATTATTAATTTTCATAAGCCGTTTCATAAGCAGTTGAGATTACTATGATGCACCCTGTAAGCTGATTGAGTGTTCGGGTATAGGCTCGTGTCGACTTCGATAAGGAAGCCGAATTGCTTACTGGTCTGAAATTTGTGAATATGATATATTGACCACGTTTTTTGAGTAACAGACATACTAGTGCCTCCTTCCAGGACATGGGAGAGAGTCTGGCTTCTAACGATTTGTTAATGATAGTAGTAATGGCTGTATGAGGAGCATCACATCTGCTGACCAAGGGAGAGGGCATTGGGTCGAGTGGGCATGACTTGATTGTTAAGTTATGAATAAGGGATTTAACATTGTTGGCAGACAGGATCTTAAATGCAGATAACGATGAAGTCAACAGAGTAGAAAAGTAATGGATGCGGAGGCAGGTAAATCTATAATATCAGCATCAATTTGTCTCTGGACTGTATCAATCTTTGACGCATAATACTTTCCTTCTTCGTTTGCAAAAGTTGGGAGGTAACTCATCACCCTGTAACTGATTAAACAGGCGTTTAATAGCAGGAACACGCATCAACAACACATTTAGTTAAAAGAAGAGAGAAATTATCATGGAATTGTAAAAGTAGGTTCGCGCTTAGTGCGGAGTGTCTTAAGCACTGATTATTGAGATTCAAATGACTCGTCTCTTTACTCGCTAAAGTCTCTAAAATGTAAAGTTGTATCTGCCTGACAAAAAAGAATATTGTTTTAATCAGGATCAAAGCTGATGATACCAATCAGGCAGTCGAAGCTGATTGAATTACGTGCATAGATTGCGTCACTTCCCAGAGCGCAGACGAATTTCCACCGGGTACAAAATTTAGAGGCTGATCTACCAGAATTCTTGCCTGTTGTCGTACAGGCAAGAATTCTGAATCCTTGGGGAGGGGTTAGTAGGTAATATCTGGAACTCTTTTAAAGAGCGGGGGCTTAATAAAAAAGGGGAAGCTACCAGTGATCTCTTCATTAAGTGCTACCACATCAGTACGAGTTTTTAGCGGAGACTTAAGACGTATTTCTGGTAGGAGCAGTTAACACAATACAATAATACAATGATTTATTTAAATATGTTATCGTCTAAGAGCACAAATATTCGTTCAGAATGCGAACTTGCATTAAATCTACAATTATACTAAAAACACATGATATAAACAAATTTAAACATGTAATCTATAATCTAGGTACACATGAATATAATAGATTATAAAAATTACAAAAGAATTTTAACAATACGAAAATTACAGCTGAATTGATCTTTGCTAAGACTTAAAAATATCAACATTATCGGCCAGCTAGACATCTTCTGGAAGTTTCTTCCATGGTTGAGCGCACTTATAAATAAAACAGCTCCTCATAAAATTAAGATGAAATTTGGGAACATAAGAGAAAGGAAAGAGAAGAGTTGACTTTTTCTCTCTCCTCGTTTAAAACCGAAAGGCCACTTGAGTACTCAGAATGAGTCACTAAATAAATAATTTGGATGAATCAGATTAATGAAACAAGGTAAGATATTGCAAATATTTTAAGCCGATAAACCTAGCGGAGCCATTGAATATCTCATTTGACGCCTCGGTGAACGTGATGGATTTCCGTGCTTATTACATCATAATTATGATTACTGATTGATGTTTACCTTCTCAAACGATATTGTTATAACCGTCTGAGATATATCTTTCTTGTACATTATTGTTGAAAAAGGAAATATTAGGTCTTTCATCCACATTCAAATTTCCATTTGAGACCTCAGTGAACGTGCTTGATTTCCGTGCGTATTTTCGGGAATATAATGATTACTGCGATACTGCTGCAAGCTACTGGAGTATACCTGTCATACCTTATTGTTGACCCAACAAATATTCCCCAACTATCATACTAGAATATCTGTGGCATAAACGATTATTTGATCAAGCCATCTTCTAAAACAAAAAGAGTTACGTTATTCAACAGGATTAATTATAATTATCTTCTTCACAATCTATTCACTTGAGACGTGATTTTGAGCCGCTACCCTCGTCATGTTTTGTTGAAAAATTTGGCTCCCCCCTCAGGGAAGATGGAGCTTTTGCTCCCTTTAAAGTAGAGTGTAGCTTTCTTGAAAATAGCCCAATTTTCTCTGTTTCAAATTGGAAACGGAAAATGGGGAAATTTTTTAACAATTTGGACGTGGAATTGGGCGATTTTAAACCATGAATACATAATTTAATCAGTGATACTAACAAACAATGTGCCCATAAACAATAGTGACGAGGATTGTGGCGAATTTGTGATAAATAAAAATCCTGACAGGTTGCAGGTACAATGAACACATGACTAAACCTGTATTAGCAGTCATCCTGTATTAAGCGGTCGAGGTCGCCCTTTTTTGTCTTCCCCTTGCATCAAACTAGCACATAAAGCGGAACTACTCAATCATTTAATCAGTTAAATCTTTCAAGTAAACTTTAATCTATCATACTTCGAAACAATGTTAGTTCTATTTCGGAGTACGTTTTTGTACATCAAGTGATTAATTATGCCAGAATTTGACTAACCTACTTTTTCGCCCACCCTCTTGATAGGTGTTTGCATCCGATAAGGCGAAAAAAAAGAACAACCGAGAAAAAGACTTGGTAAGCCTGCGCTATAAATAATTCAATAACTATTCATAGACATACATAAAACAAAACGTTTCCTTTATTTTTAGGTGTTTTAATGTTCTAATTACCAACTATGAGAAGAAGCTAAAAAAAATGTCAAAACGAGAAATTGAAAAAGTCTGATGTATTGATTGACTGGCAGTAAAAATATATGCATGCTGACATTTCTGAGATTTAAGCATGCTTTACCAAGGATTCCTTGTGTTAATGTCGATAACTGAGACTGAGCAACTATTTTGGTTGAAGTACCTGCACGTGCGGTCTTCATTCAAGAGTGCCTGACATCACGCTATCTTTAAGTGTCAGATATTAACGAATAAAGCAGCTCTATAGCTCCCGTTTTTTCCCGATGCAAGTTGATTTGATTTCATCTTTTCATCGATATTTGTGCATCGGATGAAGGAAAATCTCTCACTTGTGGGCCAATGATGTATTATGTTATCACTAAGCTCAACATTCTAGACCGAACAGGAAAATTCATAATTTTACTTTGGTTCATAGCTCTGAGGATTAACTGACACTTTCACTATCTAATTTTGAGTTCCATTCTTGACATCGATAACCTATCCCAATTGGAGGGCCAATGATGCAGTGTGGAATTACAAGGCTCGACATACTAAGCAACAGGAAGATTTATTCACTGACACTGTCACCATTTAATCATGGATTTCAAGATTGACATCGATAACCTAACCCAAACTTTTACTCCACGCTGCAACTGACGCAGTTCTCACTAACTTGTACGTCTTTAAACAAATTAGAGGTCGGCCTCGAGACTTTTCGTTGTCCAGTCAAGTATATTCTTTAATTTTCCTTGTTAAAGTTAGAGAATGGAAAGAACGACCTATCATTTTGCATCATTTTTGCCTGCGTTTTGCTCCATTTCGAAAATGATTTAGCGACAACTAGCTAAAACATTGAGCATCTTAGATCAGTGATAGCTCTCGTCTATGTTCTAAATAAAATATTTCGATCAAAATTTCTTACCTTACCCGATTGACAGCAGAACAAGTCAGGTTTTTTGAGGAGTGATAAGGAGGCGGTTCACCAGGTAACTAGAAATATAAAATGAATGCACTCAGTATCAAATTCTCACAGTTTGGTCAGTCTCGATTACTGCAAACCTTACCAAAAGACATTTCTGTGAAGATTTTCTCGCTATTTCTTCTTTCTTTATGTCGGCCCTCATCTCATAAAATATTTTATTCAGCATTTTAGGATAACATCGCATACAATACTCGATAGGCAATCAAAGATTTATAGGTATTTGACACTCGGCTGTTTTTAATACAGTAGTGATCCTTACTTTCTCATGAAACATTATGTCAGTGTACGGAGTCGTTGAATATTACGTTTGATTGGTGGCCCCAATTAACTTTCTCGATTTCCGCTCGTATTAATGGGCAATGAATACTGCAATGTGATTTAAACTGTAGCACTCTTTCTAATAACGATCCCTAAGGAAGCTACTGGGCTGTTTGGCTGTCTTATGATCACTAATCTTTTTCTTCTTCTCATCTCTAGCATGTTCTTAGCGATCCATCTTTAATGTGGATTCCTCTTTTATCAAGTGGAAGATATCTCCGGATGGGGAAGTAGGCTCATCAAAAACGTTGAAATTAAACTTTTTTTTTTTTTTTTTATCGGTACATAGTGTGCATGGATCGATCAATTTATGTTGTGACTGCTTGGCCCTTGATTGAGATTCCACTATGATGCGTTTTATACTCCACTCAGACACAAAATGACAATGCCATAACTTAAATAATCACGAGACATGCGCTCCCTTTTTATCAAGGAAAATAATCAGACGAATAGGATTAAGGTTTCTTTTGAAACAACTCATTGAACGATAACACTCAAAAATCAAAACACAAGATCCTCAAATAGCTTACAGTATCTGCTCGATGCGGAATGGATGGAGATATGCTGTTTAAGTGAAGTGGCATTTCATAATTGTGTGAATTAAATGAGTTGGTTAAACAATCGGTGGCCTTGCTCATACGAAGACAAAAGTCTCGCTTAACATCTTTGAGTGCATTATTTACAGATTGTTTTAAGCGACTTAAAACTTTTGAATTTCTTTTCAGAGGTAAAATCATAATTTATGTATTGTAGTAGTTTAAAAAGCGTGTGCAAGAAAATTAATTATTCCGTTGTCATAGCGGGAGATACATGAGGTGTTAGTAAATGGCAGAATACGCTGCATTTTCAAAGTTGAGGGGAAAGAAATTTTCCTTGAAGGGCAAACTGGGGGAACATTTCAAGAAGAAAAGCTCTGAGATCGTGAAATGCTTTTAACCAATTAATTTTTATCTTTTTTTGGTTTGTTTTTTCGCTTTCCCTTTCTCTATTCTATGCTCTCTTTTATTTTGTTTTGTTTGTTTGTTTGTTAGTTTGTTTTTTTTTGTGTGTGTGTGTGTACACTTAAAATAGACCACCCGTTTTGTTTCCAAATTGGCGACCTAATCTGATTTTTGATGGAAAATTCCATCTCAGCGGAAACGAATTGCAGACTTGTTCAGTTTGTGGCTTCACCTTAATAAGAATTGCGTTGAACTTTGCCAACTCACTTTTAAGTGAATTAAAATTCAGGCGAGATCGAAAAGCGATCACTCTCACGAGATGTCCGGTTGTCAATTACTGAGCAACTAGTAAATCGCTTTTGAAATCACGATCAGAGCTCGTCTTGTAGTCTTCATTCGATAGTTTGTAATACACAACTGAATGATAACAAGTGAGATTTCTTAGCGCCAACATTAACGGATAATTAAACCGATATACTTTATATCGCTGATGCTTATTGCAGTAACGTAGTGTAGTAGAAGGAATATCTTTTGCAGCGCAATATCATATTTATTCACACAACTGAGGAAAGGAAAGCAACTGCTTTTAGGCCTGTAAGGTATTTGCAATGACAACTCTGAGATATTAAGCAGTTGGAATATTTAACAATAGAAATTACCATCATTCAATCCTTTTTCGTGGCTTAGTCAAGACTACATGAAACCCTTTCAGATTCCAGAACATGGAAGATTAAGCATTATTTCACCATTTTATCATAAATCTCATTGCTGACGTCGAAACATATCACAAGCTCTGTCCCTAAAGCATACGCACCTCTCACGAACTCGCCCCTCCTTGAAGAAAGGTCGGCCCTAAAAAGTTGTTGCCATCCAATTATAAATCTCGTCTTCCGCTGCCGCGGAAGTGGAATGTCTGTTCTAACAAAACGTCTACAGTTTGCTTTGTTAACGTTTAAGGATAAAAAGTGAAAATTTAAAATGTATTTCACGCAATATCATCCGCGTTCTTGGGGTCATCTTAAACTGACAAGACTGTTTTATCACTACTGCCGATTGGAATTTCTTACTGAAACAGATGAAATATATTTCAAGACAATATTCCCAGTTATTCATGCAAGAGACGAAAGGAAATCAATAATCTGTAGACAACTGATGTGATACGCAATGACTGCCCTAAAATGCCCATAAATAGCAGTTAAGCCGGACTACATGGAACCACGTCTGATTATTTACCGTTTCAGATTCCAGTCAGTGGAAGATTAACGACATTTTCGCCATTAAATCGCTAATCCTATATACATTTTTTAATTCCAAGCCAATCGCAAACTTAGCCTCAAGGCTATATATACGCAGTTCTCGCGAATTTGCACGTTCTCGAACGAAGGTTGGCCCCAAAAATGTTTGTTATCCAGTTAAGTATATCGTCTTTCATATCCGCGAAAGTGAAATGTCTGCCTCAGCAAAACATTAGTTTCCTTTGCACACGTTGAAGAACGGAGAGTAAACCTTTCAAATGTGTTTCGTGCAATTTTAACCGCGTTTGGAGCCTTCCTGAATGTCACTTACTAAAGAATACCTAAAACAGCAACCAACTGAAGATCGATCGCTCGTCACCATAGAATTAATATGATTAGTATTGTCTCTGCCGATAACGGAAATACTTGACTCTGACCACTTAAAGGCATGGTGCATAGAAAATATGCCCACAATGCTCTGGCAAGTATAATAGGTCTGGGTAGGGTTAAGTCCAATCAGTATTGAGAAAACCTCCTAACCACAATTTTTCTGCAGAGTTACTCAAAATTCCTTTCAATCATCATCAAAAAGTTTGTTTTTTTGGCAACGTCTCTCAATAACACTACATACAACGCCAAACGAATTACAATGAGAGGCATTGGACGAGGAATAGGTATGTGAAATCTGGCTGTTTGGTAGATAACTCGTATCTTAAAGAAGTTCTCTTCAAAACTGAAGCAATGCTTAGATTTGATATTTTATTATTCAAATATGACATTTTGCAAATTCATGTCATTAAAAGCTCACTGAAGCTCGTGAATTTGACAATGCCTAGGGCTGTACCAACTTCTAACCCAAGAATTTTGTATGCGACTCTTATTCTTGTAAACAGCAAAAACTTTCCAAAGCCCCAGTCTGTATTATCAATCGCAAAAAACAGAGGCCGAATTCCAGAAGTTTTGGAATATCTCTCGATGATGGCTTTCAACATATAGCAGTCAGGTTGTCTGATGCAGTCGAGTGTTTACGCTCTTAGGGGCTTGTAATGCCCTAAAACTCTCTTTTTTTCCGAGCTCGGCACAATCGATTTCTCTAAGATCCTCTTAGAGTGAGCAAATTTCAGTTTTAAATTCGCTTCCCTAACAAGTATAGAACACTTGGCTGATTCAAACTCCTTCGGACCGAATTCCGTCTGATCAAGATTTAAGTCCTCGGTTCCTGTCTCTTAATTTATTTATTCATTTATTTTTTTTTTTTTTGGAGTTTAAAGGTTACTTACATTCATGTTGTTTCTAAATACAAGTCGATGGCTTCGGCCTTGAGATTGCTGCTTTGTTTTGCAACGGGGACGGTGAAGCATAATGTTTGTTTCATGCAGTTGATTTGAGGATTCTCTTTCGTGATTTTGCAAAAGAAACGAGATCCGAGTGCTTTCTTCTTTTTCTTCTTCTTCTTCTTCTTCTACTTCTTCTTCTTCTTCTTCTTCTTCTTCTTCTTCTTCTTCCTCTTCTTCTTCTTCTTCTTCTTCTTCTTCTTCTTCTTCTTCTTCTTCTTCTTCTACTTCTTCTTCTTCTTCTTCTCCTCCTCCTCAGTATTTCTCTATGTTTTCCTCTTTAATCTCTCCAAAGGAGTATTGCACTTATTCTGTTTCTAAAGTTAATTTGGTGCAAGCTTTTTCTCAACAAACTTGAATGTTTAATGAAAGGTAAAACTTTTTGTATGTGAATTGTATAAACAATGCATTTACTGTGCGAGATGGCGAAATCATGATTTCGATACAGGTAAAACTCTGATATGTAATCAAAGTCTATGTTAAGGCGTAAATTCAATTTCATGCGTGTGTAAAGATCACTGTCTTCCAGTGTACATGTGATGCAGTGTTCGTATAACTGAGGTGCAATTTCGATTTACATTAAAAGTCCACTTTGGACATGAGTACCAACATTGACTTACATTCGTGATTATATTGTGGAGCATTAAAGACGAGCGAAAGCAAGTGCTGCGAAGTTTCTCTTTGTTCGTCCAAAGTCCAGTTGCCTCGTATCGCCGGTGTAAGGAGATGGGTGAGAGATTTCTGCCTTTCCGATAGGCCAAACAAGTGGTCCGAATAATTAAACTTTCCCGACATTGTTGGTTTAGTCAGGTAGTTTACAATTAATCGCCCAACGGAGTAAAGATTCACTTTCCTCACCGACAACTTATCGCCAAACTAATGAAAGAGGAGAAATTTGTTGTCACCGGGTCCTCACTTAATAGATTGAAAGGTCCACAAATTCGTTTTTGACTTTATCAGTATAGGTACTTCGTAGCATGCACGGCAAAGAAATGGCGCTAAATTAAAATCCTTCTACTTGCAATCGCTTGGCAGTCTGATTCAGAAGTTATGCTACAGAAATCTTAAGCAAAGACCACTTTTTTTCTCTCACATCCCATCATCATGAGTTGATTCGGTTTTGAAAGAAGATGTGACGGCCTGAGATCAACAGCTCTCAAATAAAGTAGCATCATACAGGTAAGTGATATTGAAAGAGTTATTATGCCACATATTATTCTTATTATTATTATGCTTATTTTGCCACTCGAGTGTGGGCTCCTCAATTCATTGAACTAATTCTCAAGTTAAAGCCCATCCAAAGACGTGTTCAAGTTCATCATCCGTTTGCAATTCTCAACATCTACAGACTACAGGACACGACTCCAACCGTTGAAACTTCTACCCATCACGGGAAGATTTTGTGGACATGATATGGACTACAAGTGGACTACAAGTGGACTACAAGGCTACGCATAACCTTGTCTCTTTGAATGGTTCTGCATTCCTTGTAAAACGTGTTGCAAGAACCACGTACTACACTAACACTGTCATCAAATTTGTTCCTAAAAAATGCAAAACTGCTACTTATCAAAAGTATCAGAACTTCTCGGATTTGGAAGACTCTAGCCAGCATCATTAACATTGAAACTTAAAATCTGAACTCATTTAAGACTGTAATGTTTAATTTATTATTTCGGTAGTTTACTTCTCTCTTACGATCCGAAAAATTCCAAAGCCT